ATTATTGAATTTTTTTTCAAAATTAACCATGCTTTTAAACTTAATACAGCGATTTCTCAATTACCTGTATATGGATTTGAGTAGATAATGTCATTTTCGTGTTCTACATTAGACTTTGAATAAGAATAATAGAAAATTACGGAGGATCAGTTGTAAAACTCCATTATAAGTAGATTCAAAGATAAAATTTAGATGTTTGATGAAAGCTTAAAAAACATTGGTCTATTGCATTTGTTCACACCCTGTATACAAGTAAGGGTCCGAATATGTTAAAAACTGCGCCATTTTATAAGCTTTCCAACCATATGCTACACTATTGAGGTTTAGATATTCTTTTGTTTGTTTTAGTGGATTTAATACCAGAAAACAAGGATTTTTTTACAGTTCTTACTGTTCAAGCTGAAACAAAAATACAACTTCTGCCGACTTTCTATGTTTTAAATGTTAAAGACACCATGTTTTGTAGTCTTCAAACCACTACTGCATACGTACGCAGACGTAAAGCTCAATAGTGTAGCATATGGTTGGAAAGCTTATAACATGGCGCAGTTTTTACCATATTCGGACACTTTCTTGTATACAGGGTGTGAACAAATGCAATAGACCAATGTTTTTAAGTTTTTATCAAACATCTTAATTTTTATCTTTGAATAAATTTACAATGTAGTTTTTACAACTGATTCCCCGTCATTTTCTATTATTCTTATTCAAAATTTAATGTAGAACACGAAAATGACATTATCCACCCAAATCTATTTACAGGTAATTGAGAAATAGCTTTATTAAACTCATACTGTGGCTTATTAGACCAAATTAACTATCTCCATTATAATAGTATTGTATTAAAAATATTATTATGATTAGTAAAATAATAATTATGAGTGTTGTCTTACATTATTATCATGCTTTGGAAACTTAATTAAAAAATAATGCTGGTAGTTTTGAAGAGGCTTTGGTTTTGATTACGTTAGCAGCACTTGTGAGCGCCGCTGAGGAGTGTCGCATAGTATAAAATAGGCCTTTAATGCTATAGGGATAAAACAACGATTAAATTCGTCCTCTGCATGAGCTACGGAATCATTCAGAAAATATGTATTATTCTACATCATCGCGTATGTTATATGAGTAAATAATATTATGTCTGCTAGACCCCCCTCTAGAACATACTTATGTGATAATTTTTAATTAGTGTGTTTAGCCTACTCTTTATTTAAGTCGATAAAGTTAGTTTGTATGGCTTAAACAAACTGCACATTTTTTACTCATTAAAACTTTTAGTTGTACACTATAAAAATTATTTATTTATGAACTATTACAATAAAAATGTCTTTTAATTTAGAATTACAACTGCTTTAACTGTTCTCTTCCACTTGCAATTTATTTTTTTCTTAGCCGATGTTTTCTGGACTTCATCCTGTCTTGTGCTACTTTTTAAAATCGAACTAATTTATACGCTTCTTATACGCCTCTGGCACAACATCTTATCTTTTACGATTCGCTCTATGGACAAGCGTTCGTTAATTTGAATTTGTTAGCGTGGAAGCTCTCTTGTAGCGTTCTCAATCTAATAAGATGTAGCATCGACAATACTTAGGTGAAGTAATTAATGAATTTGCTGATACAACCTGGATTAAGTGTGTCAATTTTGTGTTAGGACATTTTAGATTCTGAATAATCACCAATACAATCCGCCAATGATCTCAGTTTGCAATTAGTTAACACCGTGTCAAATAAAAACTGTTACGGCCCTACTCACGGGAATAAAGGAAAATAGTTGGATTTCGCATTTAAAAATATAGGTTTAGTTGAAAGCTGTACCGTGTTACACATTTATTTTTAAGATTTTGTAAATTATCTTTATGGATAGAACCCAACCTCTGATTCTCGGTTTGTCCTAAATCAAAACTGAATTAAAATTTAATTTGCTAGTACAGTAGCTCATTCTAGCTAGAGACTAATAAAAATAAAACACAATATAAAAATAAAATAGAATGTCCACATGCACATATATTTTAACACCTCAACACCGTCTCAAACACCGCACTTTATTAAACGTTTAAATAAAGCAAAATGTTCTAATCCACAAGTCACTTTATGAAAACTCGCCATAAAAACTCGTTAAAAAAATAATTAGTTTTTTATCAAATAGCTGTGGTTTTGGGGGAAATCTGTTGCCGAAGTAACCATAAAATACATGTATACTATGCCGGCTGTATTCTGATGACCTTATAAAGAGAGAGAATGAGAAAGAGACCTTATAAAATTAACATAACCTGAATTCAGCAACGTTTTGTTTTATCTTACTAAATAGAAACATAAAATGTAATCATGTCCATAAATTTAGTATTGAATACCCCCCATTTAAGACAATTTCCCATTACTATATGACATAACTGAAAACACACTCATAACACATGACACGTAAAAGTTACAGGTGATGTAAAGGATATTGGAAAAAATATAAAAAATAATATTAGAAAAGAAATCTTTTGAATTTTGTATGTATTACAATGTTGTTCTTGATGTAATTATTTTCAGTAATTCCGAGTTTATAATTGGACCGTCTTCATTACTAAACAAATAATTTTGGTCTGTTTTTTCTATAAAATAAGATTCCCACGCATTAAGATGTTGAGGTTTTATTATTTGTTTTAAATGTTTAAGGTTTCCCAAATTAAAAATATGTCCTGAATGGATAGTGTGGCTAGCAAGGAACCTTCTTCAGATGATTTTTTTTAATTTAACTGAGTAGTTAGGAGTAGGTACAGAGAAGTCTGAAAGCGCTTCTCGCGGCGCTGTTCAATGACGCAACATAGCAACTGAAGCCCGAGCTGAGATTTACGAGCTGAGGTAGAGCACATCCTTGTCCTTTAGTCGGTGGGAATACATGTTGAGTTTTCAATGAGTTCCCCCCCTACTTTTTTCAAACATTTCTTGAGATATCAACTCCGGACTACGTCAGATCATTGTAGAGTAGAAAGTACTTTATTTTGACTGGGTATACATTTTTGGCCGCCGTCTTCGATACGCCATCTTTGATCCGCCATATTGGATACAAAGTTTTTTTTCAAGTGTTAAGGTAGGATTGTGACCCATCATTTCAAACTAGAATTTTACGCTGAGTACAATGCCGCAATCCAATTTTCAAAATATTGATCCAATAAAAGGTTATTAGGATTTTTTGAAAATATTTTTGTATACATTTTACTGGCCGACAATTAATAATACGTTAAAATGAAGTCAATTTAACCTTAAAATAATCAAAATGTTAACTCTTAATCTTAGTTTTTTTCTAGCAAATTTTGGAGATGGTAAAAATGAATTTGAATAGGAGGTTTGGGCAAATCCTAAGATTGCGTAATATAAAAATGTATACAAAAATTATTTTTGAATATTCATAATATTTTTTAACAGATTTAGATTTTGAAAAAACAGATTGCAGCATTGTATTCAGCATAAAAATCTGATTTGAAACAATGGGTCACAACTCCACCTTTATTTTTGAAAATATTTTTTTTTATCCAATATGGCGGATCCAAGATGGTGGCTGAAAATGTCCAATTCGTCAAAAGGACGAAAATATGACCCGAAAATGTTGAGTGGTAGATTTCTTTCCTTTTCTAGCAAATTATTGAGACTTATGGCATATTTTAACATTAAGTTATAAACAAACTGGTTTGATTTTTATTTTATTTATTCGTTATAACATTTCAACGGATCAATATTTTGAAAATGGGATTGCGGCACTGTACTCAGCGTAAAATTCTAGTTGGAAATGATGGGCCACAATCCTACCTTTACATTTGAAAAAAAAACTTTGTATGCAATATGGCGGATCCAAGATGGCGCCCAAAAATTTGTACGCAGCCAAAATAAGGTACTTACTACTCTTCAATGATCTGACCTGATCTGGAGTTGAATCTTAAGAAATGTAGAAACAAGTAGGAAGGGGAACTCATTTTAAACTCACCCTGTATAATGGAATTTTACAGTTTTTATTGTTAGGTAAATTAAACATATTATGGCAAAAAATCTTATGGTATGTCACTCAATAATTGCATTTTGTGATTTCGTGCTTTTAAAAGTACACATAAAATGTTGTGCTTGACAGTAGCATCAAACAAAACAATCAGGCAATCAAACAAAACACAAATAAAACAAATATACTATCGTTTTATTATTATGATTTGTTTGTGGATATCATCGTATTAGGTATATTTTATTGCAAACTTGCTCCTTTATAAATAATAAGATGGATTAAAATGTAAAATAATTAAATTTAAAAATATTAATTTTCTATTTTGCGTTTATCAAATCTAAATGACAGTAACAGCTGTTTTGTAAATTATCTGTGTAAAAAGGAGACTTTTAAGCCCTAGTGACTAAGTATTCTATTATTTCACAATACATACCACATTTACATTACGTAATAGTAATAGTATATATTTTAGCACTAAATCTTCAGGCCGTATATCAGTATCTTTAAAGATGGTCTGAAATGGCATCACAGAGTGCCAAAATACTTAAACAAAATACATTATTGTGTAATGTGTTATTTGTTGTTGTCTATTGACAAATTAGGCTTAACACATATGAGCTTACTAATGAAACAACTGAAAAAAATCATTAAGATTTATGATTTCAATATTTTATTTTTCCAATATATTTCAGTATTACAATACAAAGTTACAAATGCAATCCGCTATACAATATTTTTATAATAACATATACATACAATTTTCTAAACTAACGGGGATATTAAAATGATTCAGTATAACAAAACAGAATGTAACACAAGCAAATAAGGTTATAATTGAGAATCTTTTGACCCTCAGTATTTTAAATTATCAATTATTACCAAGCAAAATGCTAATTAGTTTAAATTATATTAGAAAATTAGTTAATTTTTACCCAGGTTGATTTTTCTACACTGTCCATATGTTGTCAATGTTTTGAGAGTGTGTTTTTTTTCTTTTTTAGAGTAAGAAAACAACTAAAATATGATAAAGAAGAAGAAGAAGAATCACCAGAGGTATGTACTGTATTGACTCTAGATATAACCACACCATTTCTTAAATCCACATTTAGTTAGGTTTTTAAAGTACGATTTGATTTCTACTTGAATTTCGTGCTACTGTTAGCTAAATGTAGTCACAGAGAAAATTGTTGTTATCCATCACTCATCCTGGAATTTACAGTTTCTTTCAACTTTATATAAGGCAAAAAAAACCAGAAGGATCTGAACAAAACAGGTGGTTTACATCATCATATGGTAACCAGTTTGGACAAATTTCAACTCTGGGGAATGTTTAATCCAAAAATTAAACCATTAATGTTTAGTTAAATATTTAAATACATTTAAAAATAAATATATATTTTTAAGTATAAATATATTTAAATATACATATATTTAAATATACATATATTTAAGTATAAATATATTTAAATATATATAAATTTAAGTATAAATATACTTAAATATATTAAATTAAATATGTCTTTCATAGTTTATTAATAATTAAGTAGGCCTACTTATATTATTTTTAATTTGTTTAATATTTAAAAGAATAAACAGAAATAAACAGTATCAGCATTCTGACACATACTTTCTCCCAAAAGTTTGTCAACAACCTTTATTATGTGTTAGCGGTGAGAGTAAATATACGGAAATGGGATTGGTACAATTTTCTTCAGAATTTAAAGGACTATAACATACTAAATTTTTATCAAAATTGTTCAGGCCATTTTTGGGAAAATCCTATTTTTCGTTATTTTATGGGGTTTTATGGAAAAATCCCCATTAAGAATAAAAATTTCTAAAAAGTAAAAAAAAACTATCAAAATTGTAAGGACCATAACATACTATATTAAATCAAAACCGGATTTTTGTCTAAAATCCTATTTTTCGTCATTTTATGGGGTTTTTATGGGAAAATAACATAGCTTACCATAACTTTTGAACCGTAATTTTTACAGAAATGGGATTTATACCATTTTGTTCAGAATTCAAAGGGCTACAACATACTAAATTTTTATCAAAATCTTTCAGGCCATTTTTGAGAAAACCCGATTTTTCCGGTTTTTTTAATGGGAAAATCCCCATTAAAAATAAAAAAATTCAAAAAAATGAAAAAACGCCTGGAGATACCATGGGCTAGAACCTACATACCAAATTTCATCGAAATCGGACTACAGGTGTAGTCTCTAGCTCTGTACACCGTCATTTTATGGGGTTTTTATGGGAAAATAACATAGCTTACCATAACTTTTGAACCGTAATTTTTACAGAAATGGGATTTGTACCATTTTGTTCAGAATTCAAAGGGCTACAACATACTAAATTTTTATCAAAATCTTTCAGGCCATTTTTGAGAAAACCCGATTTTTCCGGTTTTTTTAATGGGAAAATCCTTATTAAAAATAAAAAAATTCAAAAAAATGAAAAAAACGCCTGGAGATACCATGGGCTAGAACCTACATACCAAATTTCATCGAAATCGGACTACAGGTGTAGTCTCTAGCTCTGTACACATCCAGACACACACAAACGCACACAGATATCACTTCGAAAACCACCTTTTTGGGTCCAGGGGGACCCAAAACGAATATATCCACTCAAACTCGAAAATTTTGACGAAAACAATACTTTCTCCATATACTATGGTATAGGGGGAGAAAGTAAAAAAGCAAGTAATTTAAATTTGAGCAAAACTTAAGATTTTTTGTTTTATAGTTTTAATTGTACTCAATTTTCTGTAAAATCTGAAATAAATTTGCTTACATACCTATAAGTAATTTAAAAGTCCCTATAATACAAAAAAGACCTACACTGAAGGTGATTGGATATTGCATTATTTACGTATAAATGCTAACCTCTCTCCAAGACTCATGACACGACTAATGTCACCGACACCTGTTTGTCCAGGCCAATACATCATCCCGGGTAGAAGCCTCTACTTCAAAAGGCTCCACCACATCCCGGGTAGAAGCCTCTACTTCAAAAGGCTCCAAGGCCTCCTATGCAACTGATACACCCCTAGGGGACCAATCATTCCCCCTGGGATCCGTCGTCTGGTGCACATTTGGCAAGGATAAAAAAACCAGATATATTGGTAATTATAATCAGATAATATTAAACATTTGTATGTATGTAATAAGTAAATTGTATCCATATTACACATTTGCTACTGAAGGTAACCATCCTATTTACAGAAATTTACAGTCCTTAAAATGTATGTGTTTTTATCTATAATGCAATTTTAGCAAATTTCCAATTTAGGAAATGAGATATTAACGTAGGTTTTGTGGTAAGACCTGGACCTGGGACCAAGACAAACCATTGGTTCCATGACTATGGAATGGAAGTTACTCCCAATCAACCAAGCTGGAGATATAACTTAATATATCTTAATATTCTTTTTTGAATATGGGATGTATTAAAACTAGGAGTTCACTAGCTCAAATCTTACAATCAACTGTCAAATACAAACATATGACATATTATACATAATTTTAAAGCTCTTGGTAATACATACATTTTTGTTGTATTAGAATTGGTCTTTTTTATTAGTTTCAAAATGGTGGCATTACATTAACAATGCAGTATCATAATTAACTATATTGCCAGTCATTATAAGCACCATGCTGATGTATCAGCATGACCCCATGAGGAATTTTTCTAGGACTGCATAACAAGTGATAATACCTAACCTTAAACACGAATAATCTTCAATAAAAGTATATAACATCTTGTTGTTTAAGTAATATGCCTATACTCAATTCTGTAGTGGTACTGTCATACTAAAGTTTCACTTTTCTGTTTAGAAAGCCATTTTGACAGTTTGACATTATACTAACTGACTGAACCTTATCAAGCACACTAAACCACCAATGGTTTTTAATGTTTGGTTAACAGCATATAAGCTTTTAAAACAGTTCCACTATTAGCAATATCTATTTTCTGATTCATAAGTGTACCTGTTTCAGGCATGATTGTAGGGACATTTCCTGCCCTTCACCTAAAAACCAAGAACGAGAGAAATGTGTACTGGTTTGGAGAGAAGACTGTCTCTACAGTAAGTTCAGATCATATCTTGAAATCAACAGGGAATAAATTAGGTTTTCCCAAACAAGTAATTTGCCCGTGTGTAGGAGTTTTGCCAACGGGTATCAGGTAGAAAAGGTCCCCATCCGTTAATTCCTCATACTGCGGAGTTTTGCCATCGGTTGTGGGTTGCGCGAGAGGGGGAGGTGGAGAGAGAGAGATTACACGTGACCGTGAGGGTGGCTTCCGCTAGGGGTGGACCAGGCAGGAAGCTGACTGTGTTCAAAGTAATGCAGTTATGCACCTCTGACTGTGAAAGGAAATGTATTGAATTTTTAACCTAACCTAACCCACTGCGACAAGCGCATAACTGCCAAGCGTAGACAACCCTGACAATCGCTCTCCCTCCCTCCCTCACACTCTTTCTCCCACAACCACCGTTGGCAAATCTCCGCACCAAGAGGTGGCTGAAGGCATCCACCCCCCATCTACCTGACACCCGTTGGCAAAACTCTGGTTCCCAATTTGCCCAATCGGACAGGATGTAAAAGTCTTGGTCTTAAGCTTACTTGAAACTCTGCCCCCTTTTAATAAGGGTTAATGAAACTGTATCACAGGAAACCTGTTTTTTCCTTTTCCATTGTCAATCAATAATAACCAGGGATTGCAAAATACTTGATAAGGTCATTTACAACATGGCTCAGCATGATAAGATTGTGACATGATTCCGGATTGGTCTTATAAATAATTGAACTTTGATGATAAGGAATTGTTTTCATTTTTAAGCATCCACCATTTCGTATTTTTTGTGGATATGGGTTTTCATTTAAAAAAGGCCACTTTTGTGAGTTTTCTGATTGGTTTTTTACCAAGAACTAAAATCTTGCCAAGTAAGAGTTAATCTTTGTCATTGGGTAGTCTTAATTTCTGCTCCATACTTTATACAACACAATTGGGAACTAATCGCCCGAAACATAAATAAGCAGGATTTAACATAGATCGCTATTGGAAAAAGGAGTAGAAACAATCAGTGAAAAACAAATCTAAATGGGATACAGTTTTATATTAGTGAACTAAATTGAGGTAACTTTTATTAATTTTTTTTACATATAATGTAACGCTACATGTTTTTCAAAGCATTATTTGTTGTTTTTTTTATAAATTCTAACACTTATAACCGGGAACATCACTATTAAATGGACATTTTACAAAACAAATTTTGGTAATTTGACCTTGTTAATCTTTTGTTAGGGAGCCAAACACTGTTCAGTGATTAACTTGATGTCATGAGACAATTTATTTCTCCAAAAAAGCTCATTTAGTAAATAAATTAAACTGGTGGTAAATAAATTAATTAAAATGCATATAATGTTTTCTTTTACTTTTTTCAGATGCCAATCCGATGTATTCGTCCTTTCAATGACGTGTCAGTGTTTGGAGAGCGAAAAACAACCAAAATTCATCATGGTGGACTTGAAGAAGCAATTAAGGTTTGACAGCAAAACATTCCCTAGTATATCTATTTGTATTAGACAAACTCAAGGATTCACTAGAATTTTTCCTGCTAACTTAACATGGATAAAAATCTTAGAAGAATTAATTTAATGCAAATCGATCAAAGATTACAATTATGATGTTGCATTTGGAGGAGACATCACAATACTGTGATCATGATAGCAAAATATGACCATTAACCCTCCGAGTGTTATTTGTCGCTGCAGCGACACATAACACACTTTGTGTAGTGTTTAGTGTCGCTACAGCGACATACAAACACTATTTACGGCAAAGGCTCTATGACTGACTGAATCGGATTGAACTGGATCGAGTTAGGTATCGTTCTTTTCGTTAGATTCTAAGCTTTCTCCAGAGGTCTGTCTCAGTGCTTTATGTTCTCCGAGCCGATCGTAATTGTAGCAGACAGCTGACGTGCGTATTTGTAAACAACTTGGTTATAACCTCGGACCGATGACTGATGTGTTTTATTACGTTTAACATTGTTTTAGTGTTAAAAATCAAAAGTAGTCATATACGTGGTGCATTATAAGAAGATTTAAGTGATTTTGAAGGGCTGGTAGATGATCCTGAAGAAGTAGGTAGTGATATTGATGTAAATTATCAGCCAGATTTCTAGCTATGGTTAGGCTATGCATTCTTAGCTAAACGCTATGTACTGAAATCTGTTTTTTGCCGATAACTTATTTATTTGCAAATCTACTTCTTTATATTGATATATATATGTAATCCTCATAAAATTTAGAACAAAGTGGCTATTTTCAAATATTTATAGGCCTATAATTTATACAATTTCATTGAGCGCAAACTTATTTTTTTTGTTAATTTTCCAAAATATATGTTTTTTTACCTAAAATTTTTTTTTTGAACAAATGTTCCTTATTTTTTATATATAATATTGAAGCCCATGATTTTTCAAACAAAATGGTATAAAGAACAGTATAATTAACATTGTTTTTAAGCTTCTCAGATCCGTTTTAATAAAACCTTGCAAATGAGCTAAAAATAGGCAGACATTAAGGCCAAAACAAGGGACACTCGGAGGGTTAACATTCATAAAATGCATTGTTGTAATTATAGCTAATAGAAATTGTTTATTCTATATAAGGTCCGGTTCAAATTAGTTAGGATAAGCAGGACTCTGGTTTAGTAATTTAGTTTTGGATTCTCAATATGATGACATGTTATATAGGTTTTTCAGTCCAATTTATGGGTTTAAAACTTTTACAGACAATTGTAGGACAATACGGGGTCAACCCTCCCATGGAGTCTCCCAAGGACAAAAGGTATTCGGTGGAAGAGTTCTTTGTCTGGGTCATGGAGACGCCATTCAAAAAGTCCAACTGTGAGTACATAATTACTGTTAGATAGGTGTGATTGGATTGTTGAATGTTTTGCATATAAGTCATCTTTCTAAGCCTGCAATTGTTTGCGTCTTCAACCACCATTTTGATTAAAAAAATAGAAGCACTATATTAGCTTAGATCAACTTTGCGGATGATAAGAGGAAGGCCTTGGAAGGAGGTAGCGAAATTTTACCCCCCTGGAATTTTACTCCCTGGGCAAAACTGAAGTCACAAACCAGGGGGTGAAATTCTGGCCTAAAAACCTAGAGTGTACGGAATTTTACCCCCTGGATTTTTACCCCAGGACTTTTACCTCTGGAGTAAAATTCCGCATGAGGTTAGATATAGGAATAAGTGAGTATGATACATTTTCTTCTTTCAGTTTTAGTTAAATCGTAAAATGTTTTTAGTAGCTTATCTTAATTTATTTGTAACCTTAATTAAACAAACAGCTTTTGAATTTTAATTTTAATATTAGAGTTTCGGGATTTGGTTTTTGGGGCCAACTGTTGTTTAATATGTATATACAAATATTTAGGGTTCCTTGTAGTCAACACAAATTGGTCAAAATTTTTATAATTTATAATTTAAACCCATTTATATATTTTTACCAGACGCCTACAACCACATTTTACAACAAGTATTTCGATGACCTTTCTCTGTACAAACAGAAAATAGCTCATGGTTTGTGCCTCAAGAAACAAAAAGACATATTGTGTCATTGTACAACAGAAACAAAATACATTTTTTCCATGATGGTATAACAAATTGTTTAAGAAAGGTTCACCCAATAAACATTTAAATGAGATTAAATGAGACTCAGTTTATTATACATACATATTAACCAACAGTTGGCCCCAAATCCCAATCCGGGATATCAAAATTAAACCTGTTTACTTAGTTGATATTACAAATAAATTAAGATAGGCTACTTAATAATAAAATGTTTAATATTAAATTAAAACCGAAAGAAGAAAATTTATATTTCTCAATAATTTTTATTTCTGGCCAGGGGGTAAAATTCTGAGGGGTAAAAATCCGGGGGTAAAATAACGGGGGTAAAAATCCAGGCCGTACATACAGTTGCCTAAAGGCTAGATACATGGACAGAGGGTAAATTTCCACCCGCAAACAAACTTAGGTTACTAGTACTCAGGTTACTATGTCATAGTGATAATCGCTTTGCCAAGGGAGTAACATTCCAGCGGGATAAAATTCCGTTACAAGCTGGTGTATTTTGTGACATGTTCAAGGCCTTAAACTGCGTTGACAATCGGACCTTGTTTTTTTTTTTTTTATAGTTATCCATTTTGGGTGTAAATGCATAAATTAATAGATTTTTATCCATCTAGCAAAAGGAAAAAAGAACAGTGATTTGTGCTATTTGCTTTTGTTTACAATGGGTCTCTGTTCAATTTGGTGTTCCCCAATCATCTGTTTTGGGTCACTTTTTCTCATATTCATGAATTACATGGAATTACAACGGACCACTTTTCAAGAAAGTGAATACTATTTGCTACTACGGATACTGATACTGATATCTTAATACATTGCAGTTTAAAATGAAATAATATATAGATATAAAATTATAACAATTATTTTAATGTAATAACATATTTTAATGTTAGGTACTAAAAAGTACTAGTTTCTTAGCATTAAAATAAACCAATAATTTATGATTTCTGACATCTAGCTTGTAAAATTAACTTATTTTCAATTATGCTTACAATTAATTATGGTAAAAGTGTTTATTATGCTTACATACTCTCAGATTATATATAGCATTATACTTTTAAGAATCTCCACCAACAGTAGTAAAGTTTCAAGATCTAAAATAAGAAATAATAATCGTATTAGTTGGTAATTTTAAAAATAGTTGTCAGTCCCTTTTTAAACAACAACAAATAATGCATTTATAACAGTTGTTTTCACTGACCATTTTTTGTAATTCATATAGAACTTCATCAATAAATATTTCCGTTTTTTGATTAGTAGGTGTTTTCAATACTGTACTAGATTTATTTATTATTTTATTTTAATTTAAAATAGTCACATTAATAGGTGACGAAGCATCAATTTAAAATTTTGGTTATAATGAAAAAATGTTAAGTTTTAAAGAAACTACTCTGAATCTAGTCTGGTGTTTATGACTTCTGATGGCATCAAAACAAAAAATTAGATTGGTTCTAAGTTAAGGTCTACAATTAAGCCTACTGTAATAGCTTATTCCTATATTATTCTTTAAATTTTGATTAAACCGGGTTTATAATTTTTTTACCCCAACCCAATTTATTCGTTTATTTCTGAATTGTAAACACTAAGTTATAGAAGGTTGTAAAAATTAAAAATATATGTACGTATAGTATAACTTAAGTTAACATAATGAAAGGAGGGGAATACAAATTGTTGAGTCAAAAATAAATAAGAGCTAAAAAATCTCCTTAAAAGACCACATTGACTTTTTCACAGTTAACATTTAAAAATACCTAAACATATTTCTTGAATGACCTGTTTTACTTTTTACAGATAACATTCCTGAGTCCATTTCAAAAATTGTTGAAGCAACAAATGACTATTATGTGGAAATTGACCCTGAAGATGGACCTTCTGATGACAATCTGAAGCAGGAAACTAAGTTCCCTGTACCGAGTAAGTAATTTCACACTACAGGCAATACGTTCTGTAATTTCTCTCTGTATTTTACAGTCCAGGATTACTCTTTGAAGCTCTAGGTCAATGCATGGGCACCTTAACAAGTTGGGTAACTATTTACACCTGTGAGGAATAAAATGTGTTTCCAAAGTGAATGGTGGTAGCTTCGTAGCAACAAAATATTAGAGATTCCTCATTAAAAAGTGGTGCTGTTTGCACTCAGAATCTGAGTGGTTAAGTGCAGCTGTTTGTTTGGCTTGTTTCAATTTATTGTTATAAACATTGATCGGAATATGCAATAGACTTGTGCACCAATTATTTCTCTAGTGATGTGTTGAGTTTGAGTGTTGGATTCAGAATCTCAACAGTACCTATCAGTTCATTGAGAAAACTCCAAATTTACTTTAACTGAAAAATATTTAATAACATTTCATGGATTGAGTGATGGTAATCCAGAATTGTTGGATCTAAAAATCTTGATTATAAAATGATTTGTACCAAATCTTGAATCCAACCACATTTATTTTATAAATCCCAATACAGAATCTACTATTTAAATCAGTTCTTATTGTAATTTACTTTGTTTAAAAAGTTTTTAAGGTTATGATTGATAAACGTGTAATCAAAAAAGTGATAGAAATCACAAAACTCTTAAGGGATAGGATCACGGCGATTTCATCTAACACAATTGCAGCTTTTGGAAATATTCAATAATATAAACTTGGCCCCGTACAAAATGTATAAACATTTCACTCTGTTGGTAATCAAATACTTACATACAATACGCTGCCACATGTGAGCAGCCACGATTAGACGAAGCTGAGGCCATCAACATTTTACTGTGCCCTGCTGGTGGTGATGTATCAGTGCTTACAGGTATATTAATGTCAATTCTCTATAAACCGAACCAATGGTCTTCTTCCAAGAACCAATAGTTTTAAAATCTGCCTCCAAATCAATAATACTTTAAAGGATTGCAGTGATACCTACTACAAGGAATACTTGCTGCATTGACTATAGATACCAAATAATATTATTGATATAGTCCTACACATAACATACAATTATTACCTTAAAACAAATTGTTATCTATAATTCACCCATTCCATTTAGGAATTAACATGCCTATTCAAATTACAAGACTGCAAGAGAAAAATAATAAATAAAATTATATATCACCAAGCTATAATACAATACATTTTAAATTTTATCTATATTATATTCAAAATTTGTATACAGGTAATTTGCTTGTTATGCCAGTTTTTGGTTCTTGGTATGCGCCGATGTGAATTAGAGAAAGAAATTTCTTAGTCAAAAGTATCAAGGCCAGTACTGTTAGCTTCTTATAATCCCAAAATATTCATTGCTATAAGACTGAAGTTAGGCAAGATTACAAAAACAGATATAACACAGTACATTTTGTGGATAGATCTATTTCTGAGAACACTTGAAGTTTATTACAGTAGAACCTCTTTAATCCGAACCCCCGTAATCCGAACGTCCACTAATCCGAACCCCTCATTGCTGTACTCTATAGACAGTACAGCAGTTCTTTATTGTATACTGTATTTAATTTACAGTACTGTTTATTCACCATGTTAACTACATTATTAAATAAACACTGTATTTTACTTTATAAAACATTTTTTCACTATTCCCAAAATAATGTTGATCAATTTTAGCCATGTTTTAGCTATTGTTATGTAAAAACAACAATATGTTCTGTAATCCGAACTATTCAATAGTCCGAACTACCCCTGGTCCCAATTGGTTCGGATTAAAGAGGTTCTACTGTATATCAAATGAAAATGATTTATTTAGTCAGGCAAAGTTAGGGCCACATGGCCCTCTCTTACACTTGATCAAAAATCATTTCCTTATAGTAAAATATTTTTTAATAATATTATTATCTCAATAAGCATGTAACTTTACTACTTGCGGTAATGAATTAAATTTAACACGTTCGCTACTGAGTGTCGCATATATGCGACGCTGCGGTCATTGTCACATACCGAGGTATACATTTGAATCTTACACATAGACCGGCTGTCACTTGGATAACAGTACACACAGACCACGGGCGAAAACCTGTAAAACAGCGATCATTTACATTGTAATACGCTACAATCGTTTTTGTAAATAATTTATTCTTGTTTTTTGTATTTTTTATAACCTTTTGTAATGTCGCATATTTTCGACGCCCGGTCTACAGCGAAGACAATAGTGAAAATTATCATAGTTTTCTTGAAATAGACCAAACGTCGCATATATACGACAGTTCATTTTTGTTTTTGTTTTGAGGTTAAAGTAAGTAAAACAATGCAGATTATTCAAGAACAGTTTATAACTGAACAAATATAAAAGCTACATAGGATAATGCAGCATACGTACAGCATACATACATACAGTGTTAGCAAAACGGGAGTGCCGATGGAAACCAGGTCAAGTCCCTTTAAACGCACGCACCCCCACAGGTCTCCATCGGCACTCCCGTTTTGCTAACACTATAGAGTGATGCAGAAAAGTAAACACCAGTTATTTCAACTATCATATGACGTCACCAATCATCAAATCCACAGACCAAGCGACGCAGTTGTGCGTCAGACATCTCTGTAGACCACTGCAGGGAATTCAGTGCCTTCAAATAGACCGTTTTAAAGATATAAGCATTTTAATAACATTAGAACCCCGTCACAAATATGCGACGGCAGTCTATTTTAATGTAACTAGCCGTCGCATGTATGCGACGCCAGTCCATGGGTGGAAACCGGCCGTGGCATATGTGAGTCGCTAGTCTATTTGAATGAACAATTTCGTATAATTGCAGTAGCGAACGTATTAAATAAATAATTATGTAATATTAATATATCAATAAACATGTAATTTTACTACTCGCAGCAATGAATATAAAATGACCCTCTTTTTATTTTGTTCCAGTGGAAGCTAGAGATGTAAAAAAACTATGTATGGGATGCTACGAGGTGCCACAACCCGACAAGGCTTCTGCTCATCCTCTTGTAAAGGGACTACTGTGCCACAATTGCAAGGTAACTTTTCTTGACTCTGGATATTTGTAGTTTTCCGAAGGTTGAGGCCTCCGAATGATTATTGTTCTCGGAATCTTCTTTTACTAAAGTAACAAACAAAAAAATATGTAAGAGTTGGTGTGGGAAAATTAATTGTACGGTTTTGGTAAATAATCTGAGACTGAGCAAAAACATTGCATGACTTGAAAATTTGTAAAATAGATGGTTATTTATTTAACATTAAATTGACATCGAGGTCAGCAGAACAAGATAAACAGATAAAAATGTATTCATCCAAGTTCATCAAATTAAAAACTAACATGGTAAATGTCATATAGAAACTCAGACTAACTTGTAACTAAATACCCCCGCCGCAGCAAACCTGCCGACTAAGCGAATTTCCATTTGTCTGAATTGATTTTCAGTTAAATATATTTTAATAACATTAGGTTTAACGAGTACCTAGGTTTGCTGTTACAAGGAAACTAATAAAGTGTGTTTTTGAGTAAAATATTGATAGCTTAGTACAAAATAAATAAATTTGCCAAGTTTGATCAAAATATATCTATAAACAAGCGAACTACAACATTTGACAATATTCTCCATAAGAATAACATGGGAATTTTAAATTTACAATTTTTTTTTATTTTCTCCGTTACTAATAATCGAACAAAAATACTTTTATATACTAAATTATTTGTTTTTTTAAGCTCTTTAAAAAGGTCTAAAGAGAAATCGGGAAATTTTGTGTTTTGAGGGTCAAAAGTGAGGAAAACCAATTTTTACCCCATAAAACCCCCCGTAAAGCCCCGTTCCCATGGTCCGATTTTGCTGGTTCGCGAACTCATTCAAGTTTATCCCGCTTTACACCTTTAAACCAAATTTCATCAAAATCGGACAAAAATTACTCAAGTTATCGCGTTCACGGACGTATATATATATATATATATATATATATATATAAGTCTATATATATATACATATATAAAAATTTGAACGAATGGTGTTTTTGGCCTCTGGGGACATCAAAATGAAAAAGTAAATCGGTCCCGGGTCTAGGTCTTACCGTGCCACCTACGGTAATAGCTACTTCCCTATAGGGAAATTCGCTAAAAGAAACATTCACAAACAAATAGTTACAAGCTTACTCTTTATTAGAAAATTAGAAAATTTATTCTTTAACATCGCCTAGATTAAATTATTCTATGATTTCTTGTGATCCTTTAATGTTTTAATTAAATGCTTACTATTATTAATTATTTTGTCAGGTAAATAATCTTATACTGTCTTGTCATTGTGAATAAAATATATGAAAAATCTATTTACAGACACATAAAAACTACCTGTGATTAAGACTAGTTCAAATCTGATAACAGCCCTTTTGCAACTTAATTGACCCATAATGACTTCACTTGTTGAGTGAAACCATGTCCTGGACTAGTGCCAATTATTTTTTTCTTTTGTCCTAGGATGCTAGGCACAAACCCGGGATTGTTTTTCACATTACTTCAGATTGAACCTAGCATTTGCAGCAATATCACTTCGATAAAATCTATTTGTGGTTTGGCGGGATTTGAACCCAGGACCACAGTGGCCGAAGTCCCGCATTCTAACCACTAGAACAGCTCGCTCTCCCAGACTTAGTGCCAATTTACTTGTAATTACAACAATATATTATGTTCCATTAAATCTTAATACTACTATTTTGCTTAATAGAAGTTTTGCTTAATAATATTTAGGCTAATAAGACATTTTTTGTTTTAGCCACGAGTCTACAGGAATGTGTCTACTCTTCGTGTTGACAGGAAACATTTTGTAAGTACTGTACGCCCAGTAAACCACTTTTTTGAGTTCAGGGGGGTCCAAAACAGATATATCCACCTAAAAACTCAAACTCAACTAAAAAAAAAAAAACTATACTTTCTCAATATACTATATAAAAAATAAGGTATAAATTTAAACATAATTTTTAATTTTTTATATTTTTTAGTTTAAAGTGTGTAATAAATACACTTACCACAGCCAATCTGCAGACTAAGCATAGTTCCATTTGGGTAATTATATTTTCATTAAAAAATCTCTTTTAAAACCTTTTCATATTATTTAAAAATCATCAGTCTTCAAATTTTAGTTGACTATATCAGAGCCTCTCTCTAAATGGGCCGAAAGGTGCAAGAGATTTCAAGGGTAAGGAGAATAATTTCCCCAGCATGGAAGGGGAAGGGACAATTCAAATTCTGATTAGGGCCCATAAGGCAAATCAAATTCACCTTTACTAAAAAGTAGAGGGTAGATTAGAAATGATTTGTAATGGATTTTATTTCCATTAATACAAACCAGATAATACAACATTTTTAATACATGATGTTAAATACAAAATAAAGCTACAAACCAAATAAATGTTTAAGATCATGTGTATGATGGTCCCACCTTGAATATTCAAAAGTAATATGTAAGCAAACCGTTGTACTGCATATAAGGTGTTGACCATAATATCTCTGTCTGTAGGACGGGTTCACTGCTAGTGGCTTTATGTTTGATAAAGCATTTTATTTTCAGAAATATTGCGGTCTATGTGGATGGCGGCTGAAGTTTGTTTTCTGCAATTCCTGCAAAAGGTACAGTAGTGCTATCAATACATAAAAGTTTACTAAAACAGCTAAGCTCTTAAACAAGCATTCAACGATTCTGTTGTTACTTTGCGAAACTACAGAAGAACCTCTCTGTAGTTCAATGTTTCTCAATGTGTTCAATGTAGTTTCTCATCTGTCCACAATGGGTCAGCCACTGGCCAGGTATTGATTTGGCCTTATAAACCAACCTATTAAAAAAAGTAAGTTATGACTGTAACCCTAATGTCCAAACAATAAATTTCTACACGTTAGTAAAACAAGTAGAAACAAGTAAAACAAAAAACTATACTATAATAGATACAACTTCCGAATCAAAGAGGTGAGGAGGGGTGGGGAGCAGTGGGGAGACTGCTGTTGCGGTGTTGCCGAGTTGTCGGGGATGGCCACTGCAGTGAGTGCGAACTGCCACTTCATCACAGAATATGCGTGCCAGCATACTTGTCTTTCTTTGTTTTGATGAGTGGGTGGTCGCGTCATTAATTTAGTGCAGTCTCGTAAATTACAGTGAGTTCTTTTTTGATTTGTACAATGCTTGCCTATGAAAAAACTAGCTGAATTTCGTATAAGGAAAAGTGGTTCTACTATAAGGGGCCAGAGGGATTCGATTAGACGAGATTGAGTTCTGTGACAATGAGTGTAATGAAAAAGTTGCTGTCAATATGATTGCGTAAAGCCACGTTATTGTCGTAGAATGTGTACGTAATTTGACGTAGGTTCAAGTCAAATAAAGATTTGTCGGAAGCCTTGTTTATAAGACAAAAAGACAAACTACTTATTTTTCCTTTTTAAAAGAAAGAAACATTTGCAAGTAGAACTCAAACATTTTTTGCAAAATAAAAACTCTATGTATGCTTGGAATGGGTAAATAATTGAAAAAAATCATTTAAAATATTAAATGGTTTCACTCTTAAAACTTTACAAACACAGTGAATAGGCCGGAGATCAGGGGACTTCTTAACTCTTGCGAATAGTATACTGTTAGTCGAAGTAGTCACTGTCGTAGCACTGGAGGAACTGCACATGTGAGTGTGGGCGTGGAGAGACAACAGCGCCTGTTGCTATGGCGACCGTGTCAGACTCTCCTCACTCTTATTGGTCTGGTAGCCAACCAGGTAGTTCTCCCTTTTACTCCAACTTCAGATTGCCCCAACACGTTGATACAGAAGTTGTATCTATTTAAGTACAATTTTAACTAAAGATGGAAGTAAACAATACTCTTAATAAATTAAATTTGAAGATTACTATATGTTAAAATGGTCTAATAATCTGCTGAACTAAATCATAAATTTAAATGTTTCTTTCAAAAAAATTAAAACAGTTACTGCACTGTATTGACTGCACTGAAAATAATCAACAAATTGTTTAGAGGTAAAGCTAACAAAATGAACTGAATACTGAACTGATACAACAAACATATAACCCGTTACAGAGTCAGAGACTAGTACAGGTTCAATTATTTGTCTGCAAGAAGTACAAACTGTAAGTTTCTGTGCACGCGACCAGATCTGGTTGGGTCTAAGCGAGGGTGTTGGCGGGGGTACTTTTGTGAAAACATTTGTGTCTTGCTACTCACTCACCCCTAACCCCAGCACTGCCAATAGCTGGTACCCGTATGTTTTGGTTCGGCTAGTAGCGACCCGTCCATACGCACAGAAGTTTTGGCCGAACTGTATAAACCAAGGACCAATATAGAACAGGGGTCAGATATCAGGGACCACAACTGTATTATTTCTAGTTACTCAACTACAATCTTAATTCACAATAAGTAATGCCATTTGATCTGTTATTTCAAATTCAAATAATTTCACCACCATCTAACTATAGACATGTATAAAATTTCAAATTAAAATGATGAATTAGAAAAAAAGCCTGACTTCTAATTCAAATGATTTGGGAATCTTTTGTTTACATTTATTCGATTAAGCATACTTAATCCACATATCTTTTGTTCATTACCAATACCTTTTCAAACTTATCTTGAGACATAGAATAGAAACAACCTAAGTAGAATTAAAAGCTATTTGTAAATAATATGCTAGGGGTGGGTGAAATTTATGATATAAGTTAAAAATTAATTATTTGAACTGTTTTTCAGGGTTATATGCAGACTTTGCATGGAATTTTGGATGCCCAAAGCCTATAAGAGGTGCATTTCCAACAAGTTTCGCTGGACATGTATTTTCTGTGAAGACTCACAGCAACTGGTTTGTGCTTTGCCTCGTGATGAAGCTGACCTCATGTGTCCTGATGTTGAGGTAAATGCAAGTTTACCAACTTGTGGTAAAATAATTCTGTTTGATAGCTATGGTAATTCTCACATATCTTTTCTAACCTACAGAAAATAATACTATGCAAAATAGGCCTAATCAGTTTTGGTTAAGTATACCAAATTTATCCCTGTAAAATTCTTCGGTTAAAAAAGTGCGGTGCACTCCTGATTATCCGAGCCATCTGGTTATCCGAGGTCAGCTTAGATATATATTTCTTACATTCAGCAATAAAAAACGAGTGTAGAATGTTTATATTTAAAATAGTTAAAAATATTAAGTAATTTGTGATTTGTTAAAATGAATACTTCAATTTAATTTAGGAATAATCCTCAATAGCCCGGAAAATAAAAATCACCCAGTTCTAGGTTTGTCCTCAAACCGTTGGAATGTTGGGCGATTCCTGCAGAACAATATCAGTGCATCATTGACATGTGCCATTATAGATATGATTGTTTTAAGCTCAAGTAATAGCTCAGAGAAAACCCTTAAAAAATTAACTTTTAAGTGTTGAGGCTAAAAAATCAACCTTAATGTTTATAGACATACCGGAAACAAAAGAACGCTGGGCCATTACGAGCTGCGCAGGTTTGAAGGGTACGCCACACCTACCGGCGCGAACCACGTGAACTTTTCGTTTCTGAGCAAGGTTGTTTTGTTCTTGAGATGTCTATAGCTTTAAATGCTGAACTGTATTAGTTTAACATAATTCTAAAGATAAGCTTATTGTCTTAAGTTCTTTGGTTGTTGGTTTGAATGTACAGATAAGCTGCATTGTTGACTGGCCAGTAACCTAACCAATTTTGTAGGACGTACCAGTGGTGTCGGAAAGTGAAAAGTGGCCCCCTAGGAAGCCTGTGAGCCTTCAAACTGCTACAAGCCCACCAGCTCTGAGGGTCCTTTCCCTCTTTGATGGGATCAGTGCTGGTAAGGAGCAAATATTATTATTTTTTACTCAGTGGTATTTCTTGTAGTACAGTAGCCTACATATGTACCCCCCCCCTCATGCCTTAAACTTTTTTAAATTTCACAATTTTCTTTTACAGAATTTCACATTTAATATCCAAAAGTTTAATTTTGTACTAGAAACCCCCTAATCAAAACATGCTTTTAAGAGTCGTTGGAGCCTAGACGATCTAACTCATAAAACAATTTAAAAACCACAAAGAAAATTTCTAATCCCACAGTATACTAGATATTTAAATTACAATCACTTTAGTATTTGAAAAAAATATTTTGGTAAATAACTCTTAAGTGGCTGTTTGAAAATAACAAAATTAACATTGCTCTTATGGCGGGCAAATCCAAGATGGCCGTTGGCTTCCATGGACTCCCTAGGAAATATGTTCAAAACAACAAACATCATTTCTAATCTCACAGTATAGGCCTGTTAGATATTTACATTATAATCACTTTGGTGTTTGAAAAACTATTTTTTTGATGATCATTAACTCTTCAGCAGCTGTTTGAAATTATCCAAGATAGCCACTAGCCTCCAAGGACTCTTTAACAGGGCACACACATGTTAAGTGTGCTATTATGTATAAAACCAATGTTCAGTGAACAAGTTGAGGTCTTTTAGTGAATTGCCCTATAAGAAAGAAGCTATTACCAAAGGCGACACAGAACAACCTAGAGCCAGAACAAATTTACATTTTCACCATGATGTCCCCAGAAGCCAAACACTATTTGGTCAAATTTTTATACATAGCACATACCTATATAATTTTTCCGTAAACAAGGTAAAGGCAGTTTCAAATAGCGCAAAGCAGAGCTGGGACGCTCATGGAAGTTAACTACTATATTGCTTAACAGTTTCAGCATAACTACATTTCATGGTTTTTATTCAGTTAACTTTAAGTAAACTATATATTTACCTGTGAGATATAATATTAATCGTCAGTAGGTTATAGCTAAATCAACGAATTTCTTGACTTTTAAATAATCATAATTTGTTTACAGGTAAATTAGCACTTACAAATCTGGGGCTGAAGGTCGAAAAATACTTTGCCTCCGAAATCGACCGTGATGCCATTACAGTGTCCAAGGCATTTCATGGGGAGGAGATCGAGCAGATAGGCGATGTCATGAATATTTCTTCACAAACCCTGGCTAATTACCTGCCGATTCATTTGATCATCGGAGGATCCCCCTGCAACGATCTCAGCAGGGTAAATCCTGCAAGAAAAGGATTGTCAGGTACACTAAATTTAACTATTCCATTTTTTCGTACTCGTTCTCATTTCGATCGCACTAATGTTGTTTCTTTTATGATATATTAAAGTTTTTATTTCAGAGTAGTTTTTATCATGGTATTGTTAGCCTTTGAATAGTCCAAGTATTACTTTAAACAACCTTAAATAGGAAAAAACCCAAATTGATGGAATTATTAGTATTGATGGAATATTAGACTACTTATTATCAAACCTTTTTGTGATTTTATCTATAAAATGACTTAAGTGTAAATTTAGCTGCGTAAAATTGTTTACAAAATATACACGGTTTTCTATTATAGAAAAATAATTACAATCTGGTAGTATCCTGCAAAATATATATTTAGTTGAAAACACGACTACTAACTGTGTCTACTGAACACACGTCACCGTACAGACAATGAATTACACCGCAAAAACGTAAATAAACACGTATTACAGTAGCTCATAATAAAGCTTTTGTATATACGGCAAGATTTTATAGACATTTGTTAGACATGATTCACTTTTGAAACAAAAATTAACCAAGAATGATTTGTGATCACAGAGGGCTGTAATCCCTTTGCATAGATTGCAATTTCCAATAGATTCCCCTGCAATTCCTCTATGCAAAGGGATTACGGCCCTCTGTGATCACGGACCTGCCAATCTGGGAACTGTGTGGAATATTACTAGTAGAACAAACAAAGAACTACTTCAAACAAACACAGTACACACTTACAGTTATGTTAAACAGTATTACTTCAAACAAAGAATTACTAGTAGGTCTTTCTACCACTTATAAAATAGATTTTTCCCTACTTTTTTTAAATTTACAGCATGATGAATTAAGAATAAGAAGTACCTACTTTAGTTAAAGGAGAGAACAAATAACTGGATATTATTAATATATAAGATAGGGGTTAGGAATGATTAACAGTTGAAACTTGCTCAATATGCTATTGTAATAATAGAAACAGTGTTTATATAAACTGAAGTAAAGTTTAAACTTAATTTCAGACATGAACGGAAGTGGAACACTGTTTTTTGAATACTACAGAATAGTGAAACTTGTTGAAAGTCTGCAAGGAAGCGAAACTTTCTTCTTCCTGTATGAAAACGTATCTTCGATGAAGGAAGAACACGCTGACACGATTTCACGGTAATTATTCTTCTTTGGCCTCGAACACTACTACGTTTTGGACTAATTTACCAATGTTTATTTCTACTTTGTTATTCAGTTCTGTGTATAGGAACTAAACCTGTTTAATGATGAAATTATGGGAGAAGAGTCTTAGTACTAGACCAATTAAAAAAATCTATCAATATATTAATTACGTAAGCAAATTCTTTGCATCGAAATTGTGGGTGACTGGGATGTCGTAGTATGACGGGAGAGGCCTCAAATTAAAGGTCTCAATCCCGTGGTGGAGGAAAAAATTGTAAAATTCGCACCTGTGTGATTAAAAAACAAAACTAAATATACCGTAAAATTTCCTTCATAAGAATAGCATTAGAAACCATTTACTGCTGACTTTTGTTTACTTACAGCTGATTGTAATTTATCGTAAGCCAGTAAGCAATATTACATTTGCATTACAGTAGACTCCCTCATATCCAGACTCCTCCGGAACGAGGCCAGTCCGGAAAACGGTTATTTCGGTTGATCCGACGTCCCCAAAAACTAGTTAAAACTGACCATTTAAATGCATACTGTATAAGCCAATAATGATTATTACGTATTCAGATGTGATCACTGGTCTCAACTCTTTCCCACGAGGTCAGTTGTTTCAGTACCACCCAATTCCTTCCAATCTAGTCCGGTTAAACCGATGTGCTGATAAAAATTGTGCGGTTAAACTGATGTCCGGTTAAAAGGTGTCCGGGTAAAAGGGAGTCTACTGTAGTATATTACGTTACTAGTCCTGAATATAAGTGTTTACTGGACGAGTATGGTTGTTCCCGTGTGAGACGAAGTCGAGTACGGGATTACCATATCAGACTTATTGAGAATCAAATATCAAACCAAAAGTTTTCGTGTCAACTGTTAATTCTGATGGAAAGTAATTTTGGGACAACTGGGAAATGGAACCCCAAAACCATAAAATATTAATTAATGTGGTTAGTAAAATTGCTCATTTTGTATGGAATTTATTAACTTCCCTAAAATTTCATCACGCTCGGATGGTATTTGAATATATAAAACAATAACCAAAGCAAAGAGAGACGTTTTACACAAAGACATGGTATACAGGGATAACCATCTTGACAAATAAATAATTTGATTCTTTATTTGTTTAAATATTACAATTATTTTTTTTTAAATTTTGATCTCTTTATGGACTAGATTAAATCAGTGGCATGTAGGGACATAAGTTTTGTTTATCTGTCCTGGTATGTGCAGGGTTTTTTCTAAGCTTGAAAATATTTATCCATAGTTTCCAAATTAATTTAGTAGTTATTAATTAAGTAGTTCTAAATATGAATGTACACAAGAATTTCCTTATATAGATGCCAAGAGCAGGATTAATTATTTGTGTTGTACATAGTTAACAATTGTATATAAAACCTAGTTAAGTAGATTTTAATGGTTTTAGTGCTCGTGTAAACTCCATATTTTTTTATCACTTGAAGGATTCTTGATAAGCCAAGGATGAATGAGAATACGCTGATAGGGAATATCCGATTGATATAGTGCGTGTTTTTTTCATTATATAATCTCATTAAGGGCCGCTTTCCCCAAACATAGTACAACTCAATTAACTTAAAATGGAAGTCAAACGGACATGTAGTATAACATTTGATGGCACCAGGTTTAGGCCATTTTCATAAAGTTATTTAAATCCTCAATCTCAATGAAAATACTAGGATAGGACTTGGCCTTGTATAATACTTGTATAATATAATTGCTATAGTTTAGAGATAATGTCAAGTAAGCTCAGTAACTTAGAGACAGAAGGAGAAAGAGACTTCACTTAGTATTGAGTTTCTATCGGAGGAAAGAGTCTCTTACAATAACAATTTTACATTATAACTTCTTAAAATAATCTATATATGCTTTTTATTTCAGTTTCTTTGAGTCCTCCCCAGTACTAGTCGATGCTAAGCACTTCTCTGCCATGAGAAGGCCAAGACTGTTCTGGGGAAATATTCCCAAGATGACGAATCTAAGCGCTCAAGTTCTCAGTCAAACTCAAGACGGAGCTAGTCAGAGCGTCCAAGAAAATCTCACGCCCCATCTCGGTAGACAAGCAATGGTGAAAACACTGAAGACCATTACAACTAACAAGAACTCCTTAAACAAAAGTGAGTCACATTAAAATAAGCTTAAATAGGCTAGATTTTCCTGGAGTTCACCAACTCCGCTGCAACCTTTATATGTTATAAAAAACACATTGACCCAGTTCTGGACCCCTCACCCACCGCCATGACAGTATGACAGGCTACAGACACCCCTCTTATCCATTCCACCTACACTACTCCCTCCCTACCCTTTCTTTCTATTTCCTTAATCACCTCTCCTTTCTGTAAGGTACTATAGATTCGCTCATTCCATGTCCTCCCAATATCTCGCTTAAAATAATTGGCCACCGAGCTTTACTAAACAAAGGTGTGAGATGGCTTTAAAAATTATTATAGAAGGTGAGATTTGCAAAATGAAAGCAAAGCTTTGTTCAAATAGTTAGAGGCAGAGCTTTACTAAAGGAACACATGCGAAAATTGCAGGAGCTTTGTAAAATTAAGATAATTTATCCCGCTGCAGATTTTAAGAAATTAGGGGATGAGCTTCACTAGTTGTTGAAGGAATAGACATTAATAACATTTTTGGCCGTTATTACAACAAATATTTATGAGATTGAGTTTTTGTAGATCAGTTTTGCAGCTGCTCCGTTGAATAGTAGAGGTCACACTAGTATATTGCTAGAATGACTTGGCCTTATTTTACAAATCAAGTCTAGCAATATAAATAGCGGTTTTTACAGCGAAGTGAGCTTCGTAAAGCACTGGTGAAATCGGGAGAGTATCCCCTGGATCCACCGCTCATTATTATAATACAATACAGTATTCTTTATTGTTCATTTGTAAAGAATTACAATAGTATCAATAAAATAGTAAGTTGTACGTGTTAATTTCCAGAATGTTCATAAAATTCCTTTATTGAGTATAAAGGTATTGCGGTTAGCCACTTCTTTAACTCCTGGTGGTTGCCAGTCAGGTCCCTCAGGTAGTCAGGTAGATGGTTCCTCAGTTTATGGCCGATGTAGGAAGGTTTTTTCTCCCAAAGAGTCGTTCGGTGAACTAGTAGGACAAATTTGGAGCCATGACGGGTGTTGTAGTGGTGCAGGTCTTGGTTTCTTGGGGGATTTATTTCATCCATATACTTGATGGTTTCGAGTATGTAGAGAGACACCACTGTGAGGATTCCTAGGTTTGCGAATGCTAGTCTGCAATTCTGTGATGGGACAAGGTTGATAAGGGCTCTTATGGCTTTCTTTTGAAGAACAAGGATTTTATTCATATGTTTTGTTGAAGTTCCTCCCCACACTGTCAAGCCATATCTAAGATGTGACTCTTAGATACTGTTCCTAGATATTATCACAAAGCATATTCAAAGGACTTAAGGCGAAGAAATACCTAGGGTTGCAGGGAGCAAAAGAAGGAAGAGGGTGGTATGTTTGGTGTTGTGGAGGGGGGGGGGGGAAGATGGCTAGGGTTCGAGGGAGGGAAAGAAGAGAATTTGGGGTGTATGTTTAGTGTTCGGGAGGGGGAACCCAGCTCCCCTACCTCAAAACTGCTACAGAGCCGGGTTAAGTTAAGATATTAGTAACACCTGATAAACCTTACAGTGGTGGTCAGATTTTGAGCCGGGTTGACATGCCACAGACTTTCCTACCTTACCTTCCTATGGTCGCCATTTCATTAGGTATCAACCCTACTTACTTACAAAAATAGCTTAAGAGGCACATTGTACAGTTCGGCCAAAGTTTCTGTGTGCACGACCAGATCTGGTCGGGTTTTGGCGAGGGGTTTAGTGGGACTTCTTTTGTGAAAACATTTGTCTCCTGCTACTCACTCACCCCTATCCCCAGCACTGCCAATTACTGGAACCCATATGTTTTATTTTGGCTAGTAGTGACCCGTCCGGGCGCACAGAAGTTTTGGTCGAACTGTACTATCACGGAGGAGACACCAAAGTAGTCTGCCAGCTATAGCTTTGCCTGACAGTACCTATTATGGCACTATAATATAATTATAAATTGGTTTTTAACCCTAGAGGTATTGAAACTAATCAAATAGTATTTGTTATCCCACAAAAGTTGAACTAACAAACAGTTTATAAAATAATTTATAATAAGTAATTTAAAAAGCAAGTTAAGCATTACAGTTATACTAGCTCAAGTTAAGAGCCTTTGGGTCCTGGACGTTGTAACTCAAAACAATTACAAATGAAAAAAAATTATTTCACAGTGCCCTAGATATTTAAATTAAAATGACTTTGGTAGTTGAAAAAATATTTTGACATTGTAAATAACTCTACAGCGGCTGTTGTAAATTTAAAAAATTAACATTGCTCTTATGGCGGGCAAATCCAAGATGGTCGTTAGCTTCCATGAACCCTCTTGGAAAATAATTCAAAACTTAAAAAGAACATTTCTAATTCCACAGGGCTATAGGTATTTAAATTATAATCATTTTGGTGTTTGAAAAAACTCTTTTTGGATGATAAATAACTCTTTAAGCAGCGGTTTGAAATCATCCAAGATGACTGCTAGCCTCCAAGGAGTTTTAACATCAAAATATGGTGAAACTTAAACAATAAATAAAAAGGTATTGCTTCTAACAACAAGATTTGAATCTTTAAAGAGTGGGGGTAAAACCAGGTGGCTAAGCTTGAGACATGTTCATACCACATTTTTTTACAATCACAAGTGTTTGAATAATTGCACTTAAATCTCGTGTTACCCATAATAACCCATTATTATTGTTTTGGTAAACATCTTAAGTCAGGGCTTGAAATAACTGTTAACGTGGTAAGTCCGGCGCCACTCTCGCCCAGTGGAAATGCCTAATAATATGTTCTGTCTTAATTATATGGGAAATTATGATCATCATTTAAAATAAAATTTGTGTTACAAAATACACATAGGTATTTAAGTATAATAAAACTAGTGTACTCATTTTTCATTTCATGCCGTAACTGCCTTTGTGTTTTCTTTGGAGCATCCTCAAAAGAGTATTCGTCTGAAAAAAAATATTAACCATTAGTATTCTTAGTATTGTTAAAACTGATTTTAATAAGCTGTTACTAATTCACAAAAACTTAAACTAAGAAATTGCAAGATTTTTTTCATAAATTTTAAAAAACCGGTCAAAAAATTTCATTTATGGCCTGTGACAAATATAAGCTTTACCCTTTGAAATTGTGGAGTAAAAGTACCACCTAATTTTAATCCATTAGTCTTAACCAGTTTTACCACACATAAAGGCACCAAAAAGCAAAACGTAACCTAAATCCAGAATGCTTAAAGTGAATTTTATAAATCGGTTGCATCAATGTTAATTTAAAATCATATTCGGTAGTTGGCTGAGAACATCTCAACAGTTAGGGCGACTAGAGGCGTTATTTAGGCGCTACACTGTGTCCCAGAACTGCTCTAATATTTTTATTCTAATAAACAGTTTGTAACACAATAATGGAATCACATAAAACTAGCTGTTTATCAAGCTCACATCGACAATACTATTTTTACCTAGACTGAGTAAAAAACCTTTTGCCAAAGACACAACTTCCTGAAATTTGAAACTGTGCTGTAACTTAAAGCCCATAAACATATAGGCCTACAAAAATATAAATTTTACAAGCTATGTCAACATTTACAACTGGAGTAGTAGTTTTTGTGCAACAAGTTTTAAAAGTCTGAAAGCTCTAAAAAAGTTTGTTTTTAATTTAAAATGTGAAAACATTTTGTTGTAATATAAGGTAGTTCATGTTGCTTATAGTTGTGAAATCAAAGCAATAAAATAAGTCAGCCACTCAACTAACAATACTGAACAACACCTTGTAATTTGTGCGACTTGTAGAAACCCCTAACAAATAAGTGAGCGCTGTAGCTAAAGTCGAAACTACATGCACCGATGTTCCACCGGACAGCAGTGCTGGTGGATTGGTTCTGTGTACATTCAGTTTTAGGTTAGGATTCAGTGACAAATATGATACATAAACAAATTTATTGTATATTTTAATATAACTTTTAAACTTTAAGTTCAAAATATACCCTGATTGACTAAAAGCCAAACTTAGTTTTATGAATATGTCAGATATGTGGAATAAAGAAGTGACTGCTCCACTCGCTCCACTGTCGCTAAGCCATTTAATGAGCTGCATTAGTGTAATTTCTTTTTGTTGGAATGTTTTTTAATATTTACTAAAGATGGTGTAAATGAATTGATGATGGAAACCAAAACTTGGACCACTATATTAAACCAAGACTTGGGTGCAGTGCTTGCTAACATTACTAATATCACTTTTCTTTACCAGGTAACGGTAGTCCGCAGGTGACAGAGGAGGGAGAGCCGACAACTCTGACCATCATTGAAATAGAGCAAGTGTTTGGCTTTCCTAAGCACTATACCGATGTGGGTATAGGGCAGACAGCCAGGCGGAGGTTGGTGGGAAAATCCTGGTGTGTGCCGGTGATAGAGAATCTTTTAAGACCTCTAACTGAGCTGTAAGAAATCAGTGTTTTTACTTATGTCTTCAAATCAAATCAAATAGTCTTTATTCAAGCTCAAGCTGTACATACATGGATGAATAGAGTGAAAAAACTAAACTAACAATCAATCAATTAATCAATAAAATCTGAAATAATAAATCATAATTATAATCTTAAATAGTATAAACTTAAAAAATAAAGGATTTATATAACAGCAGTTTGTAGATAAAATAAATACATTTCTCAAAGTTAAAAAACCATCCAGACTGTAAAAAAAAACTTTCCTATTAAACATTTCTTCAGTTTTGTTTTAATTTAATTGGGCTTTGCTCCTTCCTTATGCCATCTGAGAGTTGATGGATAAATTTAATGCCAAAATACTGAGGACTTTGCTGCTTATATTTATCTTTTTTATGATTTTTAAATGTGAAATGTTGTTAATATCTAGTATTGTAATTGTGGATATCCTGTTGTCGCTCTAATTTTGATTAATTATTTTTTCCATAAAGAATTGTTTTATGGATATATAAACACAGAACTGTTAAAGTTTCCAAATCTTTGAAATATTTTCTTAAAGAATTCTTGCTAGAGGTTCTTTCTAAAATTAGGATGTGTCATATAGCTTCCATCTATAATAATAAAATTCTTTTTAAATTTTGATTACTCGTACCCCATAATTTCAATGCCATAAGATATATGGGAGTGAATGAGGGCATAGTAAACTGTTTTAAGGGTTTGTTCATTGGAAAAAGGTTGAAGACTATTAATTATAAAAATTCCAGAGCTTATTTTCTTACAAACATGATCGACATGATTGCACCAGTTTAACGTTTTATCAACTATAAGACCTAAAAACTTGATGTTATTCTCAATGTTATAAAAAAATTCATTGTTTTTTTGTTTTTTTTTTACAAGAAAATTTAACCAATCTAGTTTTGTTCTTATTTAGTAAAAGATTTTTATCATAGAGGAAAGTGTTTACAATTGAAATGGCATTTTCTATTTTGGATTCTACACTGTTCTTGTATTTTGTGTCATGTTGCCTTTCTTCCAAATAATACCTTATATCCAGTTCAATTCTTTACCATAATGTTTAAGCTTATTTATTAAGGTAGGATGGTTAACACTATCAAAGTCTTTAGATATGTCTAAAAAAGCACCAATACTGTATACCAATACTGTATACTGTATACAGTTATCTTCATCCAAATTCACTAAAATATCTTCAATAAAAGATATCAATGCTGTTAAGATCGATTTGATGGTAATTTATTAAGAAAGTGTCATCCCTTTTGTGTTCCTTAAGACATTAAGATTGTGTTCCTTAGGATATCCATGTAAATTAATATTTAATATAAAAATTATGTTTTGTTTTATTTTTATTTTACAAATTGTTAAAGATAGATTAAGTTAGCGTAAGTATATGTAATATGCCAAACAAGCAGACAGTTATTTGTAAATAAAGCACTTATTTAATTTCATTTCATTTCATTAATATCCTAAAGGGGTCTGTAAAATCCATTAAAGATGTAGTTATGGACTTGCCTTTTTGAAACCCATGTTGCTCATCATCAAAGAAATCATCATTTACCAAATGATCATTCATATATTTTAGATATGGAAGTCAACAAAGACACAGGTTGATAATTTTTCACCTCGTTTTTTTCTCTGTCTGGAAAATTTCATTAACTTTAGCAATTTACACTGTCAGGAAAAATTCCAGTTATTCAAGAGCAGTTAATTATGTGTATAATAGGGTTTACTATAGATTTTCTGCCATATTTAATTAGTTTTAGTATAACCTTGTCATGATCACTAGATAGTTAATTTTTAAAAGATCAAATTATTTTACTGATTTCATTTTCATTTACTAGGCTACAACAAAATGGCTTTGTTATTGCATTTTTGGGCAGGTTTGTTCCTGTAGCAGGTGTGAATTTAATGCTGTTTTTATCAATGTTTCAATGGCTCCAATAAAATGATTATTAAAAGTCTTTGAGATGGTTAAGGGATCATTCATTCATTCTCCTTTTTCAGAAAAGTGATTGAACTATTAGAGTTATTTGCATTTATTCCTGTTTCCTCATTTATTATTTCCCAAGTTTTCTTTAAAATATTGTCAGAGTTTTGATTTTTTCATCATAAAAGTTTTTCTTTCTCGTTAACTTATTTTTATAATCTTTGTTTCTCTGCTTACAAATATTTAGAAGCTCATTATCACCTGTACATCTGGCTTGTTTTTTCAATTCCACCATTTCATTTTTTTTTATGTATCAGATTTGAATCCATCCAGTCATTTTTGTTGTTTAAAAACCTTTTAACTCTCTTTTTAGAGAAAACTAAATTAAAATTATATTTAAATATGTTGTCAAACACTGTGAACTTATCTTCTACATTGGCGATAAACAAAATTTACTTCTAAAACCTATCTATCATGATCGGAAAGAGCTGTTATTATTCCTTTTACATTTGTTTGAAATTAATCTAAGTTGATGGTAAAATTTTCGATTGCAGTCACTGAATTAGGAGCAATTCTAGTAGGAAAATAAACCAAAAAATGCCATTCACATAAAGATATTTTAAGATCTTTAACCTCTTCTTTTTAACTAAAAACATTGGGTTGCCGGAATTTTATCCCCCTGGAATTTTACCCCCTGGGCAAAGCTGACGTCACTATGACGTAGTATCCTGAGTGGCCAAAAGTTTGTTCGCGGCCGGAATTTTACCCCCGCGGATTCGGAAGTCTAATGAAAATAGACAGAGCGTGATTAATTAGATTATCAATAAAAACCCGAATTTTACCCCCTGTCCATATAACTAGCATTTGGACGACTGAAGATGTACGGGCCGGATTTTTACCCCCCTGAATTTTACCCCCTGGCCCATTTTAGAAATTAAATGTTTGATTTTCTTATTTCTGTTTTTAATTAATTTTAAACATTTCATTATTTAGTAGCCTATCTTTATTTATTTATTTTGTAAAGAAATGTTCGAAAAAATTATCATTCAGTTGATTGTTTATACGTCATATTAACCAATTGTTAGCTTCAAAGATCGAATCCTAATACTAGAATCTCAAAATTAAAATTAAAAACCTGTTCGGTTAGTTAATGTTACAAATAAATTAATATAGGCTACTTAATAATAAAATGTTTACTATTAAATTAAAACAGAATGAAGATAATTATTCATTCTCACTAATTTATATATCTGGCCAGGGGGTAAAATTCCGGGGGTAAAAATCCGGGCCGTACACTCTAGGTTTTTATAATTTGATGTGTTCTGATTAAATTCACAACCGTGAAAATATATGTTTGATTCCGGGTTTAATCCATCGAGCTGATGTGGCGAAACTCAAAAGTTCGCGGCCGGAATTTTACCCCCTGGTTTGTGACGTCACGTTTGCCCAGGGGGTAAAATTCCAGGGGGATAAAAATCTGCTACCCCAAAACATTAACATTAAAATCTCCAGCTACTATAAAGTTGGTTTTATCCTTCAAATGAAGTAAAATTTCTAATAGCCTATCTAATCTAGACAGAAATTCAACATTTTGCATTTGAGGTTTTCTATAAATTCTCAGGGCCGTGTTAAGGGTAAGTCGAGCCCTGGGCAAACCTAAGAGCAGCGCCCCCTTTTTTTCCTATTGCTGGCGGGCGGTGGTTTGGGGGGTGCCCCTGGGCATATGCCCAGTCAGCCCATTCATAAAAGCGGGCCTGTAAATTCATACAAGTACAAATTTAAAATTTGTCACATTATATTTTCCTACACAACATTCAAAAAGTTTCTCCGTTAAATCATCTATTTTTTGTAAGTTCAATGATTCCACTTTCAAACCCACCTCTGACAATATCACCACTCCTTCTCCAGATGTGGTTGATTCTGAAGTTACTGAAAATTTGTTTAAATTAAATCCCTCCAGTTCACATTTTGTCATATTATGTTCGGTTAATACTATTATATCAGGTTTAATTTATTCTAGAACAATCTCTAAAGATTCCTTTTGGGAATCAAAATTTTGAATAATTTGGTGAAAGATTTTTTTTTATGTAGACAATTTAGATTTTTTTTCAGACCAATTTAAATTTTTAGACCTATTGTGAATTTTTGAGCTAAGGTCAGATTGATGACATTGGTCAGTTGTGACTTTTAATTACATTGTTGGGTCTGGTGAGATTGTTCTGGCTGACTACTACTAATACTGGTGTTATCAAAAATACCCTTATCTATACCCTTATTTAAACTATTATTATGGTTTTTTTAAGTTAGAGCTATTTACAGATATTTCATTCAAAGCTTCCCCCTCCTGCGCACATGACACTGGACCATGATTTTATCACTACACACATCATTACACGGCAGGTTACTCTTGGCAGTGTTGGAGAAGAAGTCTCGCAGGTGATATATGAAATCTGGGTGGGACAGGCCTCCTCACAGTTTTCGGCTGGTTCATTGCAGGTGACTATTTGAGTTACTGCTCCTCTGATTTGCTGACATTCTTCCAGCTTAGCTGTGAAGTGTTGTACTGGTACCTCATCAAATTTATTGTTCTACTCTGTTATCAATTCATTTCAATACGTTCAAGTTTTAAAGATAAAAAGTGAGAGAGGATGGGAAGTAAAATCTTTCATTTATCCATTCCAGTGTTTGAGAATTGGTAATTAAAATCAGGATGGGTACTTGATTTAACTGGGGAAATGGGCAATTAGAGGAGACTTTTTAAGCATTTCTTGGAATTGTCATTTTGTCTCAAATTTGTCAAAGTGCAAGGGAGAATATTGTTGTAAAATGTGAGTTATCTCTCCATTATAACAGAAATTTTCCAACAACCTCCTCACACCTAAAGGAATTTTTCAGAAATATTTAAACTTAAAAAGATAAACATTGAAGTATATTAGATATATTTTATCAACCTTTCAACTTAAATTAAGTACATTTTTTCATTGAGTGTGCATTTATTATCATTGGGCTTATACAGTCAATAGTCATGGCTAGGAAATACTAAAATACTTGTGTGGCCA